CGCCCGGCCGGGCCCCGGGGACGGTGCATCCAGGAGCGGCGCGGAGGATCCGCGGTCAGCAGCGGCACCAGGCGGCCGCCTTGCGAAAGGACGCGGAGATTTCCCAGCGCGAAGACTGTAGAACAGAGAAATCACTGTCTTTCTCTGTTCCGAGGTCAGGGCATAGAGTTTTAACTGCCCATGCAACTGTTCAAAGTATGACGACCATTTGAACGACCAATGTTTCTGTTTGCCTTTATTTGAAAACGAGATTTATTTAAAGCTGGTTTTCGTAAGGTCGCTCCCTACAACAGTTTGAACTGTTTATGCACGGTGAAAAAAAAACCTTCTAGGCTGTATTGCTAAAGCGTTTGCTATTGTTACGGGTGTCCAGCATCCAGAGTGAGCTGGTCCACGAACCATGGCAGCGGTCGCCATGTGGTTCCCAGTAGTAATTCTCAGGCGGGTTTCTGGAACGGACCGAGATTGTTCCCCCATTCATGACCTCTCAGGCAGTCTCAGGCAGTCCTAGCAAAGGGGCTGGGGGCAGCAACTCTGGGACCTCAGCTTAGCTCAGGAAAGCCCCCTCCACCTTGCTCGGGTTTTTGAGAAAGGCCTAGTTTCCGAGTCACTCTGATTTCCCCTGCATAAAATCCACTCCAAATGCACGGATTTATCCCCGAAATCCAGTTCTTGGGTGGGTATTTCCTAGGTGATGATTTCAACAAGTGATCTCCAAGAGAGCACACTCACGCGAGGGAGTTCCAAGTAGGTTTTATTGTTTTCTGTCATCAGGCATTTGATACTTAAAAATGTGTGAGTGACAGGAAATATCACATTACTTTATAGATCATTACCGATTAATGAAAACAAAGCTTCTTGACGCCCTATATTCTACAGTGCCTTAGGTTTATTGTGAATGTTTTAGCCTATTTTACTGTAAAACTACAAAGAGTACTTTTAATTATCTACGACCTTATATTAAAAAAAAATAATAATTTCAACTTTACATTACAAAAAAAAAAAAAAAGCTCAAAGCCCACTCTTTACAGTATGGAGAACCTATAAACTCCTGGTCAAATATGTGAGCTGTCAGCCATTTCTACTGTAATCAGTGACAGGTTGTTATTAAGGAATTCTTTTGCAAGCACCACTTAATTTTGCTTAATATCTGTTTGGTCTAGTATTGAACAGACTGCAGAAAATTTAAGACATTATTACAGAGCCCTCTTCATATGGGAAAAAAATATCAAAACACAGAAAAGGTGATGTAGGGAAAACTTATTTTTAAGATCTGCTTCCTGTTTTCAGTATTTCCCCTAAAATTCAGAAGCAGTAGCATTCTCACAATTATACATCAAGTCTCAGTGTAATCAACATGCAACACATTCCACCTCCTCCATCCATATCACCATTACAGAATACCTACATGGATAAATTACTGCTCAAGAGGAGAGTGGTTTTGCTCTCTCTCAGACAAGTCTTGTACCTCCCTGGTACTTTTTTGGTGCATGTCTGGTCTCTCCGTTCTCTTTTCCCCGTGAGGCCATTAGCCATTGAGGACAGACATGTTTGTCTTTCTCTTCACTTACTGATGGGTGAGCCAAGGGTTTTGATCACAATTGACATTTACCTTCATCCCCCTGTTTGCTGTGCAAGCTGCTTCCTCAGGTCTGGGGCCCGTGTCTTCAGAAAGGGGAGCTCTGCCCTGCAAAGAACAGAGAGTGGAGGTTGTCATTTGGGTGTTGAAGGTAAGAGAAGAGAGAAGCTTAGAGAGCACATCTTACATCAGTGAGTGGGTGACACCACTCATCTCTACCCAGAGCCAAAGAAGAGGTTGGTCTCTCACCTGAATGGAGAAAATTTTACCTCAGAAACCATCCTCTACTGTGAATATCACAAAGGCACTACTACAAAACCTTTATGAGTCTGGAGAAGTAATTTAACATGGTAAGAGCCCAAACTAAAACCACTTTCTCAGAAACAGCAAATGTGATTTTAATGTTGATGTGTCAAGATGGGTCCTCATCTCCCCTGAGGCTACTGTGTCTGCAGTTCTGACAAACTGCAGTAAAGTAAGTCCAAGTCATCAATGGTTATGAAATACGAAAATGTTGTGGGGTGACTGTAAGATGGTGTTTGTGGGTCTTCAGCCTCATGTATGTTCATCATCCAGCATCTTAAGAAGTCCTAAATGGCCCCCGGGAACTAGTAACCCCATGAGGAGGGAAGGTGTTTTCCCCATGCTCTTTGAACAGCCAGAGCTTAAAGGGCGACTCGCTTTAAGTTCACAGCAGCACTGAAAAGAGAATCTCTGGTGCTGTCCTGGAGCACCAGGCTGGGCCAGGAAGTGACTGGGACGGTGCTTTATAAAGCCCCGATAACCACATTTTTCTGGCCAATACTGTTCATGCAAGTCACAAAAATATAAGGGAATGTAATGGCAGAGGTCCCCACCTCCATGGCCTCCAGCAGCTTGAGTTCAGCACTGCCTGGTGAACGGTACGTGGCAGCGTTGAGCACCAGCTCCTAAACAGCAGTGCAGGGGACACCATCAGTGATGTGACACCCCTTTTCATCCTTGTCCCCGCAGTCCTGGTTAGACGCTGGACAGGACCGCTACATTCCTGGTGCTGCTGCCTCCGGGAGGACGTTTCCCTTGGAGCGGTGTGTCCCTTCCTGCTCTGGGTCCCTACGGGTTCTACACAGTGCGTGGACAGGACCCACTATGAGTCTCACACATCCATACCCCTAATTTTCATATTCTGAGGGTCCAGCAGACCCGCTTTGCGGTGACAAAGACTTGATCTAACGCGAATACTCGGGGCATAGAGCTGGATGCAGAGAGGCGCGGTTAGTCAGCACTTGGGGAGCAGCTGAGCCGTGCCAGATCCTCCTGGGACGCCCCCACCAGCGGCTCGGAGACCCTTTCTACCCTCTCCTCCGGCCCCAGTAGCTTCTCCACCACTAGCTCCTCAATATCGATAGTCCGCACTATCAGGGGTGATCGCCCCTCTCTCCCCCCACC